GACTTTAACAAGACTATACGTGTATTTTGTAACTAATTATCTCTTCCCAATCTGCTTTGATGAAACAAATTATGCCTAATATATATTGTATTCAGTCCCCTGTGTCTTCCAGCAGTAGCAACTTTTACAAACTGCTTAGAGTTTGAAATTTTTTCACAAGAGTCATCAATTATTAACAGGTATTTTGTTCCATTATTGAGAAGAATTTTAAATCCGTTCAAAGTCATCAACTTGTATAAATTTAAGTTTTTTTCTTTGCATTTGTTCTTAATGAGGTTGATAATGTTGATTAAAAAAAACATTTTGTCAAATTTTGGTTCAAATGTACCAATTTTTAACAAATCAAAAACAAGTTGCGATTGTCCAAATCCACTTGGTCCAACTAGCGAAATTAAAAATCGTTCCTGGGTAGAAAATTTTTTATTCATAGCTTTGGAGAAGGTAAAACATAACCGACTGTACTTGATAAAATTGCTACCCAAACTGTTGTTTCTTCACATGTAGTGAATAACATTATTCGAACGATTGCAAATGCTAGTATTAAAACTATGACAAAAAATGGCACATAAAAACTAAAAGAGATCTGTTACACGTACGTCCAAAAAACTTGCATGATTTTTGTTCATGATTCTCCTCATCAAAAACAAATTTTCCTAAATCTAATTGCTTGTCACATTCATCACCCATCTCAACCTTGGAATGAAAAAATTGATAATGATTAATTTTTAAATTTCAAAAACACGATAACACAAAACTATTTAGATTATTTACAATTTATCAAAAAACATCGAGTCCATGTTCCGTATGCAAATGCTTTTCTTTCTGCACAGTGAGGAGTATTTGCATGACAAAATGGGTAGTTGCTACGCCTCCAATCATACTCTTCATCTTTGAAAACTGTATTCTGAACTTTTGGGCATGCGTAGTCATCCAAGTTTGTACCCTTTGTTTCCAAAATTTCTGACAGAATTTTTTTTTTCATAAACTTTTGCAAAACACTGAATTTTTAGGAAGAAAGGAATGTCCCATAGTTTGTCCATTTTTATAAACTCCTAACTGTTTCACTATTTTGTTTTCAATACATTCAATGTCCAAAACAACTAGACTGATGATGTAAACTATTTTTGCAAAAGTTTTTGGTTAAAGGTCTAACAATTGAGCAACGCATATACTGATGAAGCAAAAATTTTAACATATAAACAGAAAAACAATCCAGTCACGTGACCAAGGAAGCAAGAACTTGGAAATCTAGGTAAAACATAACAATAACATTGTGTCGAAATGTCTAGTTTTTTTCGCAAAATTTTTGGCGTCCGTTATCTAATTGTTGAATATCACAGGTTAATTACGTGTGGATTGGGGAATGAAGTTCTTTTAATTAGAGTTTTGGTACACGGTAAGTCAATGGTAAGAGTTTTTGAGCAAAAACTTGGAATTTTTATGAAAAAATTTTTCAAAAAATCTTCAAAACACGATAAAATTTGTTATTATTCGACCTATTAACTAATATATTAGATATTCATATTATTTGAAACATCTACTTGAAAAAATGTTTAAACCTACTGAAATTTCAAAAAAGGTAGAATGTTTGAGAAAAAAGAATCCACACAAATTATCAGTTTTTTGTAGTTTTCTGGGAACCATTCGTTCATATTTTTTTGTTAAAAAGAGTTAAGGTGTTATTTTTCGACCCAAAGAAACAGCAAAGTAATAAGTTTTGTCCAATCGATCTATCATGCTCTAGTGTTCCCCTCTATCCTTGCTTGGAGCTGAGTTAACAATTGCAAAAGAGTATTTTGTTAGTTGAGATACTTTATCAGGGGGGTAAGATCCCATGTACTTGAACCTGAGCTCAGGAATTCTTTCAAAAATGTTAAAGTTTTAGTTTGCAGGAGTAAAAAAATCCATTTTTGCAATTGTTTGCCAATTTACATTTAAAAACAAAGAAAAAATTAGGTTATAGTGTAATTTAGGAATAAAAAAATTAATATTAATGACTTACACGCGTTTTGGTATTGAATCAACAAAGTCCCATACACAAAACTTATGATCTGGACAAAAGTTATTGAACACTGTTTTACAGTCTAGGTTGAAGAATTTTCTTGGGTTTTCAATTAAACAGCATTCATTATCTGTTTTAATTCTGGAAATTTAGGTCTGAAGAAAAACAAAGTAGATAGTACAGAGACAGTAACAAAGAAAAATCCCAAAAAGTTAAAATATTTCTACAGGAACCTGAAAACTCTAAAATTTAAATACTTTTAGCAACTGTTCCGAATTTGTCAATTTGAACATTTGATAGTCTTTCTCCCAAGACTATCACTTCCGTTACTTGTTCCAAGGAAAATTGGAAAAACATTTCTAATCTTAGGTTTTCTCCACTAAGTTCTGGATAATGCAACTGTTCAGCTGCATCCTGTAAGGAGGTCAAGTCAAACACAAGAATATAGTGATGTTAAAAATCTTTCTTTTGTGCTTTTTCTTTTGTGAAAGCATCAAAAAATCTTCCTTGAAAAAATGAAGCTTTAAACTAAGATGGGTATCACGCATATACAAGTAAAGATTACGGTCCGTTTCAAATTCAAACTCAATACTGCTTTCATCCAGAGAAGTACTGGGAAAAACTTCTTGTGTGTAAGATGACATAGTTGTTTCCAAAACTGGGACTTTATCAAAAATCTCCATCGAAGAATTTGTAAAAGCTTTGTACCAAAAATGACTTTTGTTTACACTCATTTTATATTGTCAAAAAAGTCTTTGCGAGAGCGACTGTTTTTTGATCTACTTTTTTGAGAAATGGATCTGGTTCTACCTGTTCTACGCTTAGATTTCTTTTTTCCACCTCCCAATTGTTTCCGAATTGTTTTTGTTGCCACATCTTTTGCAAATGTTTTCAGTTTTTGACGTCCACTAACAACTTCCCCAATCTCTGGAGCAGCACTTTCAAATAATTCTGCCCCAACTCTTTTCGCAGCTGGGACTATATATTTTTTAATTAAGGGAATTGCAGTTCTCCCAAGAGTTTGTGATAGAGCTCCAAAAACTCTTCCACGTTGTCTTGCATGCCCTCGAAAAATAGGGAAATCAGCTGAATTTTGAGCAACCATTTCGAATGAAAATTAAATCAACTTTTTACTTTGGAGATGAATGGAATACAACGCAATAAAGAAGTTTTTGTATCACCGACTATGTTATTTTCTATAATATCACTATATATCTTCAGAGAGTGTATTTTTATAATGTCTCAAGAATACTGAGATTATGTGGTCCTTTTCCTATCATTATAACACCTCTTTGATTTTGTTCTAAATCACAACCAAAAATGTGACTCAAGTCAGAAATTTGAGTAATAAACACTAATTGATTCTCAGGTAAATGAAGGGAACCCTTTTGAGTAATTTTATCTACTAATACATTTGTCAGTACCAGTACAAAATTGTTTTTATCTAACCAAAGCAAATTTTTCATTTGATATTTTAAACATGCATAAGTTATACATTGTATTTGCACTGGCGTCTCTGTCTTGCTTCATAATGATATGCTTTGTTGTATAATATGAGCTCTGTTTTTTGTCACAGAATACACAGCTGGCCTCTTTCTTTCCTCAACAGAGTTTTCTACAGGTGAGGTTTCAAATTTTATTTCTTTTGAAATCAGTTTTTTGCAATATGTCTTTAAATCAGATTCGTTTCGACAGTTTTTCACAGTTAAGCTCCGGAACGATATGGTGTCATCAGCAATTTTACCACAAAAATAATGCTCAAATGATGGCATACGTTCATTTTGTCAATTGAACACTTGCTGAAAACAGAAATAAACGGTTGCTGTGCAAAAATATTTATGTTCATCTTTACTAAAAAAATATCAGTTTTCCAAGTCAAAAATCATTTTATCTTGTTTACATGTTTGAATGTTCAACACTTTCACTTTCACTTTCACTTTCACTGTCAGGCTGATGTTAGGCAGACAAAAATCTAGGAGTTTGTTTTTGGTTCGCAGGGAGTCTCTTTCCACGTCCGATACCACTATCTGGCTTTCAAAAATTTAGGCTCCCGAAGACGTCTGAAATCTAAAAATGGATAAAGTTTGTCTGGCGGGGGATCTCCCAGATTGGGCTTTTTGAGCAGTTGCGGCTTTAGAAGTGTTGCAGACGCCCCCCCCCCCCCTTTGGTATGAATTTCAGACATCCATTTTGGCTGACCGATCTTAAAATTGTTCTAACGGCGCTTTTGGCGCCAATACATGATAATTTTGAGGAAGAGCGCGCGCCCGAAAAAAGTTGTTGTCAAAATTTTTACTAAAATGCCTAAAAACCTCATTTTTGGCAGTTTTTTTTTCAAAAGTTTACCTGATGTGCAGCGAATTTGGTCAAAATAGGGTCTTTATAGTGATTTGGGAGGAATTTAAAAACCATTTTGATCAACCTAATAACAGTTTTTGATTTTATTGAAAATCCCTTTCTAGAGAAAAACTGAATGCACCCCTGATTTTGGTATAAGTGATTGTTTTTATAATTAAATTAGAATGATTGGTTTTGCGCCTGTTGTTGAAACAACTTATCAAACTTTTAAATACATATTGCGTATTGTTTTTGCAGACAGAGCCGACTGGTGTGTTCTTATCCCTGGATCTTCATCGCAGTCTGTCTTATATTCTCTTCTCTTCTCAACCTCTCCTATTTCTTCATACGCCAGAGTGATGACGTCACAGGAAGCAGCGAGGAGACAAGAGATCTGTTCAACCTCAGGACCGCTTTTTTTTTCCTTACTCGCGATCATATACTTATAATCAATATTATACTTATTTGATTATAATAATCATAATAATCATAATCGTAATAAAACTATTGGAAAGTCATAATAAAAATATGAAATTACTATTATGATTGCTGCAAGACTTTTGTCAGATGAAATAGAAGAAAAGTAATCTTAAATAACTTTTAGAATATATATCAACTGACATTAAAGTACATCCTTTAAATATTGCATTTTTGAAGGTAATTGATTGAAACAACAACAAATCTCAGGGTGTGCAATTTTTCTTAGAAGGGTACGTAGAACGATTTGTGGAAAAAGGAAAAAGAGCCATTTAGGCAGGGGAAGTATGCACAGATGCATGAAGAGTATAAACAGACGTTTAACTTCACCGTCGACCACAAGCAAGATCTGTGGAGCCATCAGCAGGTAAAACAAACTCATATCTTTCACCCACTTCGATCACGTTCAACTATCAAACCACCCCTTCCCCCGTTCAATCACCCCTTCTCCCCATCCTACACTTCCATCGTCTCAGCTCGTCCATACACAACCCCCTTCACGTCTATCAGTTCCCCCTCCTAACTCATTGATGAAACTGCATACGTTGGAATTGTGTGCCAGTCAACGAAATGATGTTTAATTTGAAAATTTATTAATATATATTTTTATTTTTCTCTTGCTTGCCCGCACCGGAGTTCCATGGATAATAATCGATTATAATGGAAAAATGTTGTTTAAAATGTTGTCATTATATTCCATTTTTAATCGATTATAATCGATTATTATCGAAATTTGTTGAGACAGACCACGAAAATTCAATATAATTGATTATTATCCATGGAACTCCGGTGCGGGTGACTTTAATGAAGAATAAAAAAAATTTCATAATACATATTTTTTGTTTTTGTCGTATAAATTATATTCAGAAAAAAGTAACAACTTATGATTTCACGCTAACTCTGGAATTATGAAAAATTATCACAAGCAAGGTGAGTGGTGAAAGGCCAGTGGTGCAAAGGGATGAATGAAAAATGGGTGTGTGTAAGATGTATATCACAGAGAACAGCTTGATTTTCATACATATTTTTGGTAAAGTCAAGACTAAATTTTTCGGCGTTTGCAGAAACATCAAAGAGAAGTTGACAAATGACTTTGCTGGAAACAAACGATTTGCAATCCAACTATACAAATCAACATTTCCAATCATTCCAATCATTGTTGGATAATTTTTACATCACCTTATTTGAGACATATTTCGGGTGAGCCGGGCGCCACAGTTGAATGCGTATTAGAAGCCTCGTTGTGGTCGATCCGAAAACTGTCAACCGCATACTTTCGTCTGGTTTGCGGGATTAAAGCTTTTTGAAAAAAATCGGTAATATGAGAACTCTGATCTGCTAAACTTTTTAATGAACTTTTTGTCGGCTTTTCACGTTGTTCAAATCTGCTAGTCAAATACATGTTTAAATATTCGTTCTCTTTTTGTGGTTTTAACTTAAAAAAAATTCACCAAAAATTTACTTCCTTAATTCATTTATCAAAATTTTTACTTTGTTTCTTAGCATCAAATTTATTGTTTACTTTGTAATTGTTGCGGCCATTAAAAATGGGGAAGAACTTTGTATTTGGGTAGGTTTTAATTTTTTTGCTTTTTGTTTCAAACTTACGACCAAAAAATTTATTGTTTTTAAGTTTGACCATCAATATATTTGTTGCTTTGTGTCGTTTATCAATTTGCAAAGAGTCTTTTAGTTCTTGTGGTTTCAATTTTTAGGTTTTTCAACGATTTCTGGTACTTGTTTTCCGTGTTTTGAGTAAAATTTTTATTAGTTTTTCGCACAGCTGAGTTTTTGGGCATTTTAAATACTTTTTGGGCGGGTACTTTTTGATACATCTAAGTATAATTTTTTGCGAAAATTGAATGTTTTGTTTGTATTTGCTCTCAAGGCATTTATTTGTTCCTGTTGTTTCTCCAAAAATTCTTCAAACGCATAATTGGGAATTCTAAAGATAATTGTCAGTAAAAAGTTTTTTCTTCCAGTTATAATCAAATTTTGATTTCAGTAAGATGTATATTGGACCGCTCTTGTCATTTTTATAAAATTTTTACGAAAAAATTCTGCGTGAAACGGTAAAAACAGTTTTTGATAGATCTACGAAAACGGAAATTGAACTTTTTTTTTGGTCATCGGTTCGTAATTGCTTCATCTTTTTTCATCAAAAATATCATCAGGTGACCTTTGCTCTAATAACCAAAAAAAATTGGTGTTCAACAGTGCGTTTCGATCAAAACAAAAAAAATTTCGCTCAAATTTTTTAAGGTTTTTGACACAATTTGCAACTGATGTGTCTATTTTTTTGAGAAACTATCAAGCGGGTTTTTTTGAAATGACAAAAATTATTTGAAACATTTGTTAGATATACCAGCCAGTGTCTCTGAAACTAATAGACGTTTTTTGAGCTGATTACTCAAAACTTCATAATAAGTCGAAATTCCCCCCTAACTATTGCAGTATCTCGTATTCTGCTCCACTGTTGAGAACCATCCTTGCTTTAATATGCTTGACATGAGGGAGATTAATGGGCCTGTTTTATTTGGATGCTACTTTCTTACCTATGTTTAAAAATTAACTTTTGAATAGATCAACATCAGTTTCAAAGTTACGACTAAAGATTTCTTGTTTTTAAGTTTGACAATGAATGTATTTTTTGCTTTGTGTTTACCAATTTCAAAAAAATCTTTCAGTTCTTGTGGTTTGAGTTAGGACTGGAGTGTATAACTCATAGAGTAATTTCGGATAGGGTACACCGTCTGCTCGTCACGCTATCTTATTTTCGGCCGGATAGATTCGTGCAACTTCTTAGTCTAATACCGATCCTAATCTTACTCTTATACTATCTAGTCTCAGGTTGTTTAACTAGTCTCTGCTAGGCTCAATAGATCTAGGGTATACTGGTTTATTGCGGCTGCTGAAGTGCTCGGGAGAGTCCAACTAATTTCTAAGTTAAATTCAAATCTCTCTGGTGCTGAAATTACAAGTAACTTCAGCACTTACAAATAAGTGGGTTGTTAGTTAGATGGATCATGATTGGTTAATATTAAATACTTTACATTGGTAAAATATCTAATTTATCCAATCATAAAATGTAGTTTAGATCAGGTTCCACCCATCCGGGTTTTACAGAGTTTTTTAGAATAGTTCTTCTGCGATTCGAAGGATGGATGATGGACGTTGGTTTTTGGCGAACATCATTTTCTTCCGTTTCCTCTTTGTTAAAGAAGTTCCAGGAAGCTGGAGTTAGAGACATAAGACGTTGTGTCTTCTAGTGACAACGACTAAGTCTTTGCAACAAACTCAAATCTGATTTCAGAATGGTTGGCTATGTCAGGTTTTTCTGTTCTGCGTGGAGAACTTCTTTTGTGTCTGATCTAGTTTGGGAATGGCGTGGAGATTGTGCGTGGAGGGGATGCCTGGTTACTCGGATCTGTACGTATACTTGAACATCGAGGTGGTCATTGGTCTAGTTCAATGAAGTCCTTTTCTGCGAAGTCAAGTCGTACTCTAAATCCTTTGAGTTGTGATTGTGAGTGGCATATCGATTGTGGTTGGCCATTCTCTCTCGAGTGTAGTGGGGTCGTTTTGTCTTTAGATGTTCGTCCTTGGTGTTATATTCTGATCTATGTATTGCATAATGTAATTTACATTTTATAAAACATTTATTAGTTTAATATTTTTTAATTATGATTTTAGTTAGTTGTTTTCACAAAAGCTTTTTGTTTTAGTTCGGTTATTTTGAAGAGTTACTCACCCTTGAGTAGCTCTTATTAAAAATAGAGGTGTGGTCACAAAGCGTGGATGTAGCGCGGTGGGTTAGGCCGGCTATAGAGCATGCTCAGGACGTCCTTCCTGGTGGGTTAGGCCAGGAGTGGGAGTATGATTTCATGCGGTTTTTATGAGGGGTCCTGTTATGTGACAACGTTTTATGTTGGGTTTGTTGTGGTTTTTCTTATGTCTTGTTGGTTATGTCCTTTTTCCAAAAAGCAAATTGTTCGTGGTATGGGTTTGTCTTTCGACTTTTTTGTGTTTTATTATTTCTTTCTTAGACTTTATAATAGTCTTCAAAAGAATAAATTATCCAGTTTTAAACTGGGTTAATCCGGTTTGGGTACCGTTGGTTTCCTTTTCTTAGTCATGCTGTTATTTTATGATTTGTGGTATTTAGTAAGCTGCGTTGGTTAGTTTTGTTTAGTATATGATTCCTTTCCAACCGGGTTAAAGGAAGGTTTGAAACATGTTATTATATGTTAGAGTTGTTGAGTGTGAAAACTTGAAACTGAAATTCATTATTTTAAACAATTCTTCGTGGGCGAGCTGTGCGAGTGTGGATAGAATTTCTGTGCGAATGAATGAGAATATCAAAAGGTTAGTACTGCATTTGCATTTTATTAATTTACTGCATAGAATTTGGAAATTTACTGCTAGTTATGGGGGAATTTTAAGTTACAAATTTTCATCATAATTAGATTTACTGCTTGTGGGGAAAATTTTAGAAATGAATTTACTGCATTGGTATTAAATTTATAAATTTATAAGTGTAAGAGATTAATAGAATTTTTGAAATCTGTTTGATGAAATTTGCGATTTTTATTTGTCTTTTGTGGTTTTTGTAGGTAATTGTCGGATGAAGGCTAAAAATCTAAAGAAAACATGGATAAAGTATGGTGAGTTTTTTAATATTTTAATTAGTTAGTAATATTCATTTAATTCATAATTACCTGTTAGTCGTCGGGGAAAAAACCGTGGGGGAAGATGTCGTGGACGAGATCGGAATTTGTTAGTAGTTTGGCTAAGATGCGGATGATATTTTTAGTCTGAAGCAGTGGCCAAAGCAATTGAAGTGCCTTAATAGTGGTTAGTTCTTCAGTGCCAACTGCAAACTCATAAGGTGTGTTTTGGATTAGATTATATAATTTGTGATTGAATTTAGTGTTGTGGATGAATTCTAAAATTGGGATTTCTATAGGTTGTACAAACTCGTGCGGGATAAGGAAGGGTCGGGATTCTTCGGCGTTGAAGGTCTTGGTGATGGGACAGAAGATGTACATTTGGGTTATGGGATCATAATTGCGAAGAATACCATGAAGGTTAGTATCTTTAATGCAATATGTGAAATTTAGGAAAAATGGTGAAGTGTATTTGGAATTAATGAATTGAAAACGATGGTGTGGTTGTCTAGAGGGTGTGTGTAGGTCAAAGTGATTTTGGATGAAGCGATAATAACTATATGTGTGGGTTTGTTTAGTGCGCAACATAATATCGTGTGAGCAGTGTAAATCTCTTTCGTGTGGTGCAAGGAAATGAAAGGTTAGTGAAAATATTTGGAAGCGTTCTTTAAAACTTTCGTATGCTTGTGTGTCTGTTAGT